TTCWTMSCAGAATCAGGGGAACTGTCCTGGAGGGAGCTTCCTGCAAGGGAGCTTCAGAGGGAACAGCAATGGCTGCTAGCTACCCCCACTCCAGAACTTACTATGACTGGTAGGGGGCTGTAGTCTCCTAAAGAGTAAGGTCACTGGGAGGCATCTGGGAAACCACAGAAAAATTAGGCACTTCCTGGGTGCCTCCCCCTAGGGAACCCCCTGGCAGCTTCTCCTTCATACCTGWTGGCAGCCCTCTCCCCTGCTGACTTCTCCTAAAGGGCATGGTAAAGCAGTTCTCCACACTGCATGTCCGGCACACTGGAACACTAGCCTCTGAGGGGGCTCAGTCAGGGTCTCTTTCCTTATAAAACTCAGGCCACAGCCTGTGAAAGCTGGGGCAACCTCCAGGAGGAGGCAAGTGCCCTCTGTCCCACTCCTGGCATGTCATGGCTAGCCCAGCCCCATTCCTCTGGGCTTTAATCAGCCTCAGTGACTAAGTCCCAGATACTAATAGTTGGCACAGGGGCTAAGGATGAATCTGAAGTAGCGCAGGTGGCCCAACTTCTCCCCCAACTCCTGTAGTTGAGCAGAAGGATGCCTTCTGTCACCATGACCAGGGGGACTGGAGCTCAGAATATTTCTGCCCCAGGCTCTTCCAGCAGGGCCTGCAGGACAGAGGAGTGTGCACCAGTAGGTAGCTGCCTACAGTGGATTGGGTATAGGTGGGGAATTGAAGACCCTCTCTGCCCTTATGGCAGAAGGCTTTTCAACTTGGGTTTAGATGTCCTTTCTCTGTCCTTTTTCCATGACTCTTGTCGCTACAGCTTACATCTATACAAGGGATCAGGATCTGTGGATTGGGAGTTGGGAGCCCAGCCCAGCTGTCTCTTAAAATGAAGGGGCCTTAATGTTGTTTTACCCTGGACACATTCAGTATTTTATTTTCTGCCTAAACCCAGGGGATAGGCTCAGAATTTCTTCCAGAGGTTTCCTCACTGCCACTACTTTACACTCTGAACTGGCTCTCTCCCCACAGAYTGTATCTGGGAAACCCCATGGATCCTCCTGACCTGTTGAGTGTGGAACTGAGCACCTCCCGACCCACCCAGCACCTAGGAAGGGTGAAAAGTAAGAGCCCTCCCAATCCTGGTTCCCTTGTTCATTAGCTACCCAGGAAGGGACACTGTCTTCTCAGGACACCCTGAGCCTGCTGTTCTTCTCTGGGGACAGCTGGGTCAGGGTAGCAGGCGGGACAGCTGTGACCCTGGCTCCGACTGGGCGTGGGGTGGAAGAAGGGAGGCAGCTGTATCCGCTGAGGTGGGCATCCTGAGGTTGGTCCTGTATCAGCCCTGCCCACCTCAGCTTCCTCCTCCCTCCTTCCTCAACGGCCTGCTCAGATCCTGGCTTTCCTCTCTTTCCCCTAATCCTGCTCTTCTCTCCTGAGCCAAAACCACCCCACGGGCTCCATCTCAGCCAGGAGCCTCATCCATCTCCTGGCTCCTGTCCTGTCATTCTGAAACACGGTTGTCCCCATCCTGCTGCCCATTTCCTCCCATGCAGTTGGGTTTGTATATTCACTCACTTCTATTCACTTCTCTCTCCCCCCCTCACTGCACCCTTTCTCCTTCCTCTCTCTCTCTCTCTCTCTCTCTCTCTCTCTCTCTCTCCAAACCTTCCGGCTTTGTCTCGCTCTCTTGTCTTCTGTCTTGCTTGGTCATTCTCCTCTCCTGTCCGCATGGCCTGTCTTGCAGGGGAGCCTCCACCTCGCCCACCTCAGCCTGCCATCTTCACTCAGAGTAAGTGGGGCTGCTCAGGATGCCTTGGCCCCTGCCCTCGCCCCCTTTCTTCTCTCACTTCTCCTCTCTTCCTGGAAGGTACAGATCCCTGGTGGCTGGCTTGGGTGGGAGGGGAAAGCAGGTGTGTGCTGTGAGCTTTTGCTGACCTGGTCCAGCATGCCTGCCTCCCTGCTCCACACCCCCAAAACCTAGGTTCACAGCAGGTGTGTGGTCTGGCACCCACATTTACCTTGCTCTTCCATGGCTTAGTCCTGCCTCACTCCCTTTCAGGCCTGCAGAGGCTGTTTGTGGTGGTGGTTCAAAAGCTCTGTCTTCCCAAAAGATAGCTCCTGTTGTCCATGCCTGCACTAATGGTGTGCTGTAATGGAGAGGGGGATASGGGTTTACTAACAGGGCCCAGAAGCAAGGGTAGTGGGGGCCTTGTGTTGATGGGGGAACATCAGAGACAAGACACAAATGGGATATGGCCTGCTCTAATTTAGGTGGAGGCAGGGGGCTTACCAGCCCTCATAGAGGGCTGACAGATAGCAAGCTCCAGTCTCCTGTTGAGTGGGGTCAGGTGTGCACTGAGAATTTTGGCAGCTAAGAGGCATCCTTTTGAGAATTGGTGGTAGAAAGTTGGTGGGGGATACTTGGCTTTCTTACATCCTGCCTTCCCTTGTCTCCCATCCCTGTCTAACACTGCCTCCTTGTTGGGGTCTTCCTTTCCATCACAGAACCAACCTATGATCCTGTGAGTGAGGACCAAGACCTCCTGTCTGGTGACTTCAAGAGGCTGGGCCTGCGGAAGCCAGGTCTGCCCCGAGGGCTGTGGCTGTCAAAGCCCTCAGCCCGGGTGCCCGGCACCAAGGCAGGCCGCAGCAGTGGGGGCGAGGTCACGCTCATTGACTTTGGTGAGGAACCTGTGATTCCAGCCTCTCGGCCCTGTGCACCCTCTCTGGCACAGCTGGCCATGGATGCCTGCTCTTTGCTGGACAAGACCCCTCCACAGAGCCCTACACGGGCACTACCACGACCCCTGCATCCCACGCCTGTGGTGGATTGGGATGCACGCCCGCTTCCTCCTCCCCCTACCTACGATGATGTGGCCCAAGACGAAGATGACTTTGAGGTCTGCTCCATCAACAGCACCCTGGTGGGTGCAGGGCTTCCTACTGGGCCCAGGCAGGGAGAGACCAATTACGGCTTTGTGCCAGAGCAAGCGCGGCTCCCTGCTGCCCTGGAGGACAACCTGTTCCTCCCACCCCAGGGTGGGGGCAAGCCTCCCAGCTTGGCCCAGACCTCGGAGATCTTCCAGGCACTGCAGCAGGAGTGTATGCGGCAGCTCCAAGTTCCAACTGGCTCACTGGCCCCCTCACCCAGCCCAGGGGCTGATGATAAGCCCCAGGTGCCTCCCCGGGTACCCATCCCCCCTCGGCCCACACGCCCACGTGTTGAGCTGTCTCCAGCCCCCTCAGGTGAGGAGGAGATAGGTCGGTGGCCTGGACCTGCCTCTCCTCCCCGCATACCTCCCCGGGAACCTCTGTCCCCTCAAGGCTCTAGGACCCCCAGCCCCCTGGTACCACCTGGTGGTTCCCCCCTGCCACCCCGGCTCTCAAGCTCACCTGGGAAGACCATGCCCACTACCCAGAGCTTCGCTTCAGACCCCAAGTATGCTACACCCCAGGTGATCCAGGCTCCTGGCCCACGCACAGGTCCCTGCATCTTGCCCATTGTCCGGGATGGCAAGAAGGTCAGCAACACCCACTATTACCTGTTGCCTGAGCGCCCGCCCTACTTGGAGCGCTACCAGCGTTACCTGCGTGAGGCCCAGAGCCCTGAAGAGCCGGCCCCTCTGCCTGTGCCCCTGCTGCTGCCCCCACCCAGCACCCCAGCCCCTGCTGCCCCCACTGCCACTGTTCGACCAATGCCCCAGGCTGCCCCAGACCCCAAGGCCAACTTCTCCACCAACAACAGCAATCTAGGTACCCGGCCACCATCCCTGAGGGCCACTGCTCGGCTGCCACAGAGGGGCTGCCCTGGGGATGGGCCAGAGGCTGGCMGGCCATCTGACAAGATCCAGATGGTGAGTGCCAGGCTGGCTTTGAGGTGAGGGGGGTAGGGGCCCAAGGGATCCAGAGAAATGGGCCTGAGTGGTCCTGATGGGTGGGTGTGCCCAGCTGCAGGCCATGGTGCATGGGGTGACCACAGAGGAGTGCCAGACGGCCCTGCAGAGCCACAGCTGGAGCGTGCAGAGAGCTGCCCAGTATCTGAAGGTACTACCACCTCTTGCCTGCTCTCTGGCATGCAGGGACCCTGAAGAGTGGTTCTATTGCTCCTAGCCCCCACCTCCTGGTTTTGACTCCTGCCCCAGCCGGTCTCATGGTATCACTCTCTGCCCTTCAGGTGGAGCAGCTCTTTGGGCTGGGTCTGCGGCCACGTGTGGAGTGCCACAAAGTGCTAGAGATGTTCGACTGGAACCTAGAGCAAGCTGGCTGTCACCTTCTGGGCTCCTGTGGCCCTGCCCACCACAAGTGAGTGAGCCCCTATCTCCTTGTCCCAGGAGGGGTCCCTAGAGCATGCCACAGGAAGAAAAAATGCACACCTGAAAGGCCACGCACAGCCAGGTGGAGATAGGGTTCCCCAGCTGGGAGTGTAGGCATACAGCCCAGGAAACAGGCGGTTTGGGTTGAAAGTGACTCCTAAATGAATTTGGACCTTGAGCCACTTGGTTTCCACTGGAGATGATGAGTACAAGAGGAACTTGCATCCTCTGGATGAAGACTAACTTCCCTAGCTCCTCAGAGAGCTATGTGCTCCAGGGAGCAGGACTTTAGGCCCAATGATTTGAACAAATGTTTCTCGCATCTTTTTTCATGTTTGTGTTTTAACATTTCAAATGTTAATGCATTTTTGGGGGGGATAGGTATTGGGGATTGAACCCAGGGGCACTTTTATCACTAAGTTGCTTAAGCCCTTGCTAAGTTGCTGAGGCTGGCTTTGAACTTCTGATCCTCCTGCTTCCCCAGACAGTTGCTGGGATTACAAGTGTAAGCCATCGTGCCTTGCTGAATTTCAGTCAAATGCTAATGCCTTTTTAAAGGAATATCCAACCAAAACAACAACAAAGTCACCTTCTTTCCTGTCAGAACCTTATATTTGTATATAACAAAATATATAGCATATAAATAACATAATGATATATAAATATGTGTATGAAACTTAAGTCCAAAATAGTTGAACAGGCAAATAAATGAAGCATAGGCATCATTTCAGGAAACGAGCACTGGTGGGATATGGGGTTCAACTTGCTGGGCTTAGGAAGTGGACAGTCCAGGTGAACCAGGCTTTGCTGCTCCCTGATGGTGTGAGCTTGTGCACATTTCTGAGTCCTTGACTTCCTCATCTGTAGTTTTTAATCAGAAGCAATTAGAAAGATACAAGAAGTAGATCTGTCATACTGAATATGCAGGAGAATCACTAAGTGTTAGATATCATCTCAGGATCATTCTTCCTAATCTGCATTCAGATAAATTTGGGATTTATTGTCTCTGTTGTCCTTGGATACACCAGTACACAATAATGCTATTCTCTTAATTTATTTATGGTTTATTAAAGAAAAAACATTCCATGATTATAAGTTCCAAAATTATTGCCTAGAACAATCAGTTTTCAACTCATTTGCCTGGTGCCTAGAGGCAGTTTCTTCCTGTGGCTCTCTAGTGCTCAACCACACTGGAGTTTCCATCACCTGTTTATCTAACCCATGTTGATGGAGGGATTTTTTTATTCTTTCCCATTCTTTAGGCGCTGAGAGGTGTCTGGAGATTGAGATTCTGCTCTGAAGGAATCACTTGAGCCTATCCATGTGACTAGGGTAGGGAGACACTCCCACCCAGGCCTGGAGGAACTGCTGCTATCTGCTGCTCCCAGTGGACAGAGTAAAGCCAAGGCAGCAGGAGGCTGAGAATCCTGCCTTGCCCATCTCCCCAACCAAGCACTGACCCTGCACACTTTGGTTTAGACCTCAGTGTCCCAGCTAAGAGGTGGGAAGGAGCCCTGTAACAAGCTGGGGGCTGCCTCAGCAGGCCCTATGTGTGACTTGCCTCTGGCTCCAGTCTTTGACAGGGCCTGTGACAGGGATGTGTCCTCAGGCCCTGCCCAGGGGAACAAGACTGAGAGGAAACCAGGCATGTCCTAGGCAGGGAGGATATATTGACCCTACAGAAAGGTGGGTCAGCACCTGGAAAACCCTAAGGGCTGGGCCCTTTTCCAGAGAGCCTCTGGCAGTCAGTTGGGGGTGCCAGACAGAATGTGACTTGTGGCCTCACCGTGGACATGTTATGAGGCTTGTTTGGTCTTAGAATCTTGTACCTGGATATAGCTCATGGTTGTTTAGGAAGCAGAGAGGGGTGCCAGACCATCTTCTGGCAGGGACCAGGGCCGTAGGCCCCAGGGTTGGAAGGAGACCAATGGAGCATCTGCCCTGGGGGAATACCAGTGCTTCCTGTTTGATCCTATTCCACGCCCCGCCCCGTGCCATCCATATTTTCCCACCAGCCTCTGTGGCCAAAGTTGCTGCCCCAGCTATCGATACTGCTTCTTCCAGAGAAATAAAGTTASTTTCTATTTTATGTTATTTACTTGTGCCTGCCTGTTTTTTTATGCTTCTTAGCAGCTTGAAAGCCCCAAGGCTCCCCAAGTCATTATCATCTATTCAGGGCTCAGGCCTTGTAGCACCACCTGTAGGCAGAGGGAGGAAATGCAGGCAAGGGAAACCCCAAGCCTAACCCTTAGCAGGGCTGTCCCAGAAGACAGCCTGTGCTTTTTTTGGTTTGTTTTTGCGTTTTAATTTTTTTTTTTTTTTGTAATTGTAGATGAACAGCATGCCTTTATTTATTTTTTTTTAATGCAGTCCTAAGGATTGAACCTAGTGCCTCACACATGCTAGGTAAGCATTCTGCCACTGAGCTACAGCCCCATCCCCAGCCTGTGTTTATACTCCTTGGATTACTTTAATGCAGGATATGCTGCAGGTGAGGGGACAGCCACCAAGTTAACTGGAGCTAAGCCAGAAGACTTAGTAACAAGGAAGGCTTCAATATGTAGAAGTATTYTCTTTTGCTTAGTAAAGTATTCACATGGTTCAAAATTCAGAAGGTATTAAAGAATGTACAGTGAAGCATCCCACTCCAGATGCCCACTTCCCTCCCCAGAGCCTGCCTTTATCATCCATTTCTTGTGTATTCTTTCTTTTCTTTTAAACTTACAGTAGTTTGAAGAGCTTCACAGCAATATTCAAAGAGCTTCCCCATATGGTTATCTGGGTTACCACATCTTTTTAACCATGCTCTTTTTTCAATTTTTAAAAATTGTTGCACAGTGGTGGGATTTATTGTTACATATTCATACATGCACACAATATACTTTGTCCAATATCATTCCCCAATATTTCCTCTTGACCTCCCCCTGCTGTCCATTTTCTCTACTGATCTCTCTTTATTTCATGAGATCCCCATCACCACCTTTCTTTTCTTTTCCCTCTCTAGCTTCTATATGTGAGAGATAACAAACTACCTTTGACCTTCCGAGTTTGACTTATTTAATATTTTCAAGTTTCATCCATTTCCTGCAAATGACATAATTTCAGATTTCTTTATGGCTGAATAAAACTCCCTTTTGTATATATACTGTATTTTCGTTATCCATTCATGTGTTGATAAACACCTAGACTGGTTCCATAATTTGGCTATTGTGAATTGTGCTGCTACAAACATAGGTCTGCATGTATTGCTATAGTATGAAGACTTCAATTTTTCAGGATGATACTGAGAAAAGATATAGCTGGGTCACATGGTGKTTCCATGCCTCGTCTTTAAGGAACCTCCATGCTAATTCTATAGTGGTTGTACTGCTTTAAGTTCTCACTAGCAGTGTCAAAGTATTCCTTTTTCTCCACATCCTCTCCAGCATTTACTATTGTTTGTTTTGTTTTTGTTTTTGTTTTTTTGCATCAGGGATTGAACCCAGGGGTGCTTAACCACTGAGCCACATCTCCAGCCCTTTTTATATTTTATTTTAGAGACAGGGTGTTGCTGAGTTGCTTAGGGCCTTGCCAAGTTGCTGAGGCTGGCTTTGAACTCCTCCTGCCATAGCCTCTCCAGCTGCTAGGATTACAGGCATGCACCACCATGCCTGGCCGTTTGCATTTTTTTTTTTTTTTTTTTTTTTTTTTTTAGATGGACACATGCCTTTATTTATTTTTATGTGGTACTGAGGATTAAATCCAGTGCCTCACATGTTGTTAAGCAAGAGCTCTACCACTAAGCCACAACTCCAGCCCTGTTTTTGTATTCTTGATGACTGCCATTCTGATTGAAGTGATGAACTCTCGGATAGTTTTGATTTCCATTTATTAATTGGGTTATTCTTTTTTTTTTTTTAGTGTTAAGTTTCTCGAGTTCTTTATATTAATCCTCTGTCAGAAGAGTAGCTAATGAAGATTTTCTTCATTCTGTAGGTTCTCTCTTCACATTCCTAATGGTTTCCTTTGCTTTACAAAATCTTTTTAATTTGACTTTATATTATTTATTAGCTCCTGGCATTATTTCCTGAGCTTTAGGGGTCCTATTGAGAAAGTCATTGCCTATGCTTGTATGCTGGAGTGTATGCCTTATATTTTCTTCTAGGAGTTGCAATTTCTGGCCTAATTCTTAGATTGTTGATCCATTTTGAGTTGATTTTTGTGCAGGGTGAGAGATAAGATAGTCTCATCCTTCTAAGTATGGATAACCAGTTTTCCCAGCATCATTTGTTAAAAAGGCAGTCTTTTCTCCAATGTATGTTTTTGGCACTTTTGTCAAGGATCAGACGATTGTAGATTTGTGTGACATAAATAAGTTACTGATTGGCAGAAATGGTGTGGGTTTGACTATGTGGGTTTGTCTCTGTGACTTCTATTTTGTGTTTCTGTTTTTATGCCAGGATCATGCAGTTTTAGTTACTGTAGCTCTTTTAGTATAATTTGAAGTCAGGTATTGTGATACCTCCAGCATTGCTTTTTTGGCTTAGAATTGCTTTGGCTTTCTGTCTCTCTCATCCTTCCAAATGAATTTTAGGCTGTTTTTTCTAGTTTTGTGAAGAATATCATCAGTATTCTGATGAGGATTGCGTTGTATATTTTGGTAGCATGGCTGTTTTAACAATATTATTTCTGCCTATTCATGTACATGGGAGATTTTCCCAACTTCTTGTGTCTTTTTCAGTGTTCCATAATCATGCTCTTCTTTTTTAAACCTTTATTTTTATTTATTTATTTTTATGTGGTGCTGAGGATTGAACCCATTGCCTCTCATTTGCTAGGCGAGCGCTCTTCCACTGAGCCACAACCCCAGCTCCAATCATATTCTTCTTAATGAAGAGATATTTTGGTTGTTCTCATTTCTTTGTAGTTACAGCTATTGCTGCATAAGTCACATATGTGGGCTATCTTTCATTGGCAAGTCAATCAGAAGGAGGAGTTATCGGTGGTGAAATTCCTGGGTCAAAGAGCATGTGCATTGACGATGGATGTTGCTAAATTGACCTCAGTAGAGAATGCAGTGCCAGTTGTCATACCAGCAGTGTGTGAGAACTGTTCACATGATAGGGAACTTTCTGATCTTTGTCAGATTGACTGGCAGAAAATGGTGTGTTTAGAGTTTTGATTTGCATTTCTTTTATGAGTGAACACAGTTTTAAAAAGTTGAGCCATTTGTATTTTCTCTCTTGTGAGTTGTCTGTTAATATCCGTGACCCATTTTTTTCCCCTGCCCATCCTCTCCACGACCCATTTTTAAAAAATGAGATTATTAATCAGTTCTTGTGTTTGGGGGAATTGCTACATTGAGGACATTAGTTCTTTGAGTTTAATGTATTATATGGACTTTAAGAAAAGAGGTAATCATAGAAAGCAAGATGGGAGCTTCAGTTTATTAAAATCAAAGTGGAAGCCATTCAGGATGGGTTGTGGCCAGTAAGCTTTGAGTATTGCTATTAGACCTGGCATCTATTTTCAGCTGTGTTTCATCACATAAAAGATATTCAACCAGGGCTAGGGATTTGGCTCAAGCGGTAACGCRCTGGCCTGGCATGCGCTGGGCGCTGGGTTCGATCCTCAGCACCACATAAAATAAAATGAAGATGTTATGTCCGCCGAAAACTGAAAAATAAATATTAAAAAAAAATTCTCTCTCTCTCTCTCTCTCTCTCTCTCTCAAAAAAAAAAAAAAGATGTGTTCACCAAAAACTAAAAAATAAATATTAAAAAATTCTCTCTCTTAAAAAAAAAAGATATTCAACCAGCCAGACACAGTGGTGGATTACACACCTGTAATCCCAGCCATCTGGGAGACTGAGGCAGGACTGGGAATTCAAGGCTAGCCTGGGCAACTTTGCAAGACCCTGTCTCAAATTAAAAAACAGTTACCCTTTCAGGGCCTGTAAACTGAGGGAGAGAAATTCCTGCTTCAAAGGATGGTTGTAGGGACTAAAGGAGGTCACAAAGGTAGACTTTTTGCCCAGTGCATGGGCCATAATAATGTGCTCACTAAACTCTAACCATTATAAATTTTATTTTTCATATTCCTTTCTGTTTTTGCCAATTAGCAACTTATTTGTATCATACACCTACCACATGTGTATAAAATTGTGTTCTACTTTTCCCATTTTCCCTTAAAATTTCTTAAATGGTTTATTCTTTTGCTACACAGTTGTCTTAGTTCAGGAACATTGTTAACTCCATTTAAACATCAGTTTTTTGGTAAATGATGGCAGCCTTTGTACACTGTAAGAGGGTTTAGTAATCTGTTAGAGGCTAAGGCAGGAAGACTACAATTTTGAGGCCAGCCTGGCACCTTAGCAAAACTATCTCAAAATAAAAGGAGCTGGGGCTGTATCTCARAGGCAGAGCTCTTGCCTGGCATGTACAAGGTCCTGGGTTTGATCTTAGTACTACAATCAAACAAACAAAAAACATTCAAAAGAGGTGTTTTTTTTTTTTCCCCTAAGGATAGGGATTCCACAGCATCTGGAGGTTTTTCAGGATCAGGAGATTATGTCATACATAGTTTCCTAAACCTTAGGGTTTCCTGCTGGTTGTCTTATAGTCTGCCTGCAGCTCTTGCAAGCATCTCCTGGATTTACTGAGATCTTAAGGGAGCATGTTGAAAAAGCTGACTCTGCTTTGTCAACATGGGGAATCATCTCAGGATTTATTGGGCACTTTGTGTCGAACCCTGATGATGGGGCACAAGCCACATAGACAGTCTACCCCTGGGGAGGAATTGACAGTCTTTTGGGAACTGTGATATCATTATAGCAAGATGATGAGTGCTGTACAATCACTCTGTTCCTGAGGAGTTCCTCCTCAGAAGGTAACCTTGTGCTGACTTGATGGGTAAGATGCTAGGAAGTTGAGGGGGTGACAACATTGCAATAGGCTGCTGTAAAGGTTAGAGTCATGAACTGGCTTGTCCCAGAGCCTACTGTTCTCTTGTTTTGGGGTGGGTTGGAGGCAGCTCTTGAGATCTTGGTGAGTGAGGCAGGCTTGAATCAGGAAGATGCTGGTGTGAAATGGCTGAGGTATTTTTTTTTA